GGAATGATCTGTCACTTCAACTGTGAACTGTCAAAACTTCTCGGTAAACAAAAAAAATCAGCTAACCGCAGCTGCCTCATGAAATGCCTTATTTACATTGCAAGATTGGAACCGCGTTTGACGGTTCGATTGGAACTTTTGATTTCAGTCTTCACGCTTCTCTCCTCCACACGCTATTTTGAGGCTACTCAGTGACTGGGTAGATCGCACTCATTTTTGCATGCTGTATGGAGTAATGAGTAAACTGGTTTTGCTCCGATTATTGGAATCTTCCCAGATTCTGGGTTAATGGTTCTGACATCAATTTGATAATGGCGCACTTTGAAGTTGTGAGCAGGCGATTTTTGCGTCTAAAATTTGTTTTTAGATGTAAAGAAGTGAAAATGAATAGCTACTTAATAGCCTGGATGGCGAAAGCTATCACCAGCTAGGGGCTGTTCATAAACTAAATGGGGGGGGGGGGGGTCAATAATCCCAAAAAACTGTCTACGTAGTTAATGAACTGCTCTCTAGTTGATGAGGAACACAGCTCTAACAAATAGGTTGGTATAAAAAAATACAGAATTATCATTTTCATATTTTTTAATATTCTCGCTGGACGAAATAATGTATATATAAAGCATTCATAGGGCATTCATTCATTTCTATCGAAATGGGTAAGGATTACTCAGTTGACAAATGTCATCATCTGAGTAACCGTTACCCAGTTTCCTCCGTAAGCACGTTTACTCAAATTATAGTAAAAGCATGTTTTCTTATTTTTGGGTAACTTCCCTTTTGGCTGGACTGAGTGATTTTCGACTCAAAAATGAGTAGCCTCAAAATAGCGTGCAGCTATGTTTTTGTTTTTGCACACATTTTGCCACCTTTTTCATATCAGCTGATGGCTTTCAGAACGATACATATGTTTTCTATTGGAAGATTGCCGCAAAAGCTCAACGCAGATGTCGCCACTGCATGATGATGATAATGTTGACAGACTGCATATAAAATTCGTGAAAATTAGCAATAAATCATAATTTTCATCAAGCCTGCGTGAAATCCTTCCAATATAACATTCGAATTGAAGAAGAAAACGTTTTTACGATCAGACTGATGTGCAGCTTTGACTTTTCCAGGTGAACTTTCATAAGATATATTCATTTCATTTCACGGCTCCATCAATGCTGCATCGTAAATATGATGGTAAACAAAAGTAAATTGCTCAATTACTCAAAATAAAGATGATTTCAGTGTCAACACTTAAAAGGGGCGTAATTGTATTTGTAAACAATGACTTTAGCCGTCGATTTCTCGTGAATTAAAACTTACTAATGAAGATTAATGACACAAGCAGGTAGATGAATGTTTCCTTTACCAGCTAGCACTGTTAATTTGGAGGGATGGACTTTTATTTGCGAGAAATCGATAGCTAAAGCCATTGTTTACAAAAGCAATTACGCCCCTTTGAAATGTTGGCACTGATTTGTCATCTTGTTATCACTTTGAAGACCATCTAGCACCATTTTATAGTATGGTGCGTGTTGAGTAAATCAAGCTCCGGAGCGTTTTTCGTCAAAAATTGTGAGTATCAATATGTTTGCTTAAAAAAGGCCAAAATGAGCATTTATTGAATTTGGCGTCCCATACAACCAATTCTCTATTACCACTAGCATGATACAACCTTTCCTAAGCAAATTCACTTGATTTCCACTTTCATCTTAGTGAAAATCGCACATATTAACCATTTTCTGGAAAATGCAGCTGCGCAGGAGGTAACCTCTCCCTGTGGGTGCAAACTTGTTATGCATAATTTGCCATGAAAACATCTCTGATCCATACCGAAATAATAACAAATAGTTTTCAAACACGTTTTCTTACACGATTCAAGCAAAAGTTTCCACGGGAAATTATTAGTTTTTCTTTATGGACCGATTTGCCCCAAAAAGCGTCTGTTTTGCTTGGAAAATTTGAAAACTATCCTCCTTCTAGTAGTTCTCACTTCGAAATGTAGGTGGTGAAAGCTTGGAAAAGTTTCACTGCAAGACGCCAAGATGTTTTCATGGAAAATTATGCTTAACAAATTTGCACGCAGAGGTAGAGGTTACCTCCTGCGCAGCTGATTTTTTCGAAAAATGGTGAATATGTGCGATTTCTACTAGGATGAAAGTGGAAATTAAGTGAATTTACTTAAGAAAGATTGTATCATGCTGGTGATAATGGAGAAATGGTTGTATAGGACGCCAATATTCAATAAATGTTCCTTTCAGCCTTTTTTAGGTAAACATTGATACTCACAATTTTCGACGGAAACCGCAACGGAACTTGATTAACCCAACATGCACTATACTAAAAAATGGTGCTCGATGGTTTATAAAGTGATAACAAGGGGACAAATCATCTTTATTTTGAGTTATTGAGCAGTTTACTTCTGTTTACATCATATGTACGATGCAGCATTGATGGAGCTGTGAAATTAAATGAAAATATCTAATGAAAGTTCATCTGGAAAGATGCACATCAGTATGATCGTGAAAACATTTTCTTCTTTAATTCGAATGTTATATTGGAAGGATTTTACGCAGGCTCGATAAAAATTATGATTTAATGCTAATTTTCACGAATTTTATATGCAGTCTGTCAACATTATCATCATCATGCAGTGGCGACATCTGCGTCGAGCTTTTACGGCAATCTCCCAATAGAAGATTTGTAGGTTCATTTACTTATTATTTTTTTTCTAGAAAAACAAGATAAGATTTCTTTTTAAACATTTATTAGTGATGGTTTTAAATTGAACACAGAGTAAGGACCTTTAAAAGCAATAAAAGCATTTTTTTTTTCAACAGTTTGCTTCAATTAAATCGACAACACTGGATGCGATCATTGATGATTCGTACACACAACTTCGTAATGCGTTGTATAGAAAAGGTAAACAAAACAGTTTTATCTTAGAAAATTATTCGCGGCTTGCGTTTTTAACGATGCAAATGATATTATTCAAGCAAATATCGTTTTTAAAATTGATTTCAATTGAAAGTGTTTGTAGAAGCACACACCGTAATTGTTTTAAGTGTGGTTCTGAGCAATTAAATCTAGTGAAAACAGGTATTGAAAGTTCATGCCCAGACGTAGTAGTGGTTCACATCCATACCTCTCTTGACAAATGACCCACACAGAAAAAAAAACTGAATTTTACCTCTGATGTTAACATCTATGCATGCAACATTCATTCACGTAAACTAGCAAACGTTTTTGAAAAATTCAAATGCATTTTTTTTTCAGATTGCAAAAAGCTCGCGTCATTTTGTGTAAATAGCAAAAAGAATCGAAGGACGCCAGCTTTTTGCAATCTAAAATTATGCGTCGAAAAAAACTGCATCGAATTTTTCGAAAATGCATCAAAGTAAATTGAACCTTAAGAAATGTTGCTTACAAAGATGGATGGGTGGATGCAACATTTGGAATATTCCTTGCAATGTCTCATAGCTTTACACGATCTAAAATGTAAACTTGAATGATATATGATGCTCCATCATTGTAATATAAATTTACACGACCTTTTAAACTGTGCAAGAATGTTAACTAAAGAGAAAACCGATGAAGAGAATGCATCATGCATTGCCTTATGATTTTGAACACTATAAATAATGCTCCACGTTGCCAATAATCTTTGCTGCAATAGGTACAACTTATATGGACTGCTTATGTTTCAAGGCACGAGCAACATGTTTGGAAAATTAATTTCATTTCACCTACTTGAGACTAAGCTCCAAGGATCTGAGACTGGACTGAAATCTCATTAAAGCTCTGTAAGAGAAAGTTGTAAACCAGGAATGAAGAATCCTGTGTATGGAATTAGTTTGATTCCAAATGCTTGGTGTGATCAATTTTATTTTTTTCATTTAAGGTCAACTTTTGCAAATTTGTTTTTTATTGATGTTATAATTTTTATTGCACGGTTTATGCATAAACTAGAGCATGGTCAAGTTCACCCATCCATAGTATTTGTATGCAGTATCGATAAAAAAGCCAGTTTATAAATAAATCATCTCATCTTTTCTGAAAAAAAATCTCATACAATTTATCTTAAACTAACATTGTGTCGTGAGTACAAGTTTTTCACTTTGAATGTGTTTAAGCAAACAAAACCGCAAGGATGATTAATGAAAGATCCACATACTTAACCTACAGCTGGTGGAAGGCTACCAGCGAACGGCAACAACATCGCATCGGTGTCTCTAATGTTCGCTAAATGTGGCTACAGGCAAAGTGCTTCGGAATGCTTTTGGTCTGGAATCATGAGCATGATGGGTGAAAAAATGCCTTGGAGAGCAACGGGAGTCCCAGTAAACATCACACTCGTTAACGCCTTTCCAGTCGAGTATTCAATCTTGTGTAATGGCGCCAGGCCGGATAATCACACTTCCTTCAGACTTCCCTCACTGTGGATAGATGCAGATTGTTGGTGGTGTAAGGCTTTTCCCCGAGTCAGTGGATATTCTTCTCACGTTCCTTCAACTAGAGGCATGGATGGATGCTCAACTCATCTCTACTTTCGTGCCAAGTCTTGTCGAGGTTGAGAAAAGCTGTGAGAAAGGTTCTTGTTTGACTTTGCCGAACCAGGCCTGGTTGGGTGGTTGGATGGATGGCTAGATATACCTAGCATAGCTGGTAAGTCAGATCCAATAAGCTTCTTCTGACGGAGTCTGAAATGCTGCTGCTGCTGTAGAAGATTTAACTACTGTTTGAAGGCGCTGAGGAGCACCGAGAGAATGATGAAGTATGTTTTATGACTCAATTACAACATGGGAAAACGAATGATTTCAGATTGTCGAGAACAAAGTGTTGATGATTCGATTGAGCTTTGTGGCTTAATCAATGTGATAAATGGTTGTGGCACGTTTTTTTCATACGTGTCCATTATTGGTATTTTTCATTAGTCTTGTTGATTGATCGATTATGATGAATTGCAAATTCAAGCTGATTTGATTATGTTCTACTTCTACTTCTACTTTCAGTTCTTCCGATTTTCACCGTCTTCCAGTGGGGCCAGGGTCTGTGTTCAGCGTCGTCGGGAGAATACGGTTCCTGTCAGCCGAACAATGAATGCGTACTTAGAGGTGGAATCCCTGCTGGCCCTTGTGCCGGTGGTTACGGAACGTGTTGTATTTGTAAGACATCAATCAGATTGAAAAAATAAGGTATTTATTACCAACTTATGAATTAATTTGCAGTCATGGCTTCATGCGGTGGAGTGGCTCGTGAAAATGGCACATACTTTGTAAATCCAAACCATCCGGACACGACAGATGGAACCGGTAGCTGTCAGCTGACGGTGCTTAAAATGCATCCCGACATCTGTCAAATTCGGTTGGACTTCGATCAGTTCTCGATCAATGGACCAGAGATTATAAATCACATTTGCAACAACGATCAGTTCTTGGTTTCCGGAGGCAGTCCAGCACCGACGATTTGCGGAAACTCGAATGGAGATCACAGTACGTTGTAAATAGTCACGTATAATACTTATGTCATAACATTATTTCCACAAAACAGTGTACATCGATGCCGGGATGGGCCAGAGTAACCCAATCATCTTAACAGTTATCACCAGTGGACCCAGCTTCCCTCGGTCTTGGAGAATTCGAATTTCTCAAATCCCATGTGGAGCCATCTCCAAGGCTGAGCAAGGCTGTCTACAGTACTTGACCGGTGTCAGCGGGCGAGTGAAGAGCTTCAACTTCGATACCATCAGTGGTCGACAGCTTTCCAACCAAGATTACAGCATTTGTATTCGGACGGAACGCAATTTTTGCAGTATCCAATATACAGCCTGTCCGGATGTGGGACAAAATCGAACCCGCACTTTTACCCTATCCGGGAACTCTAATGGTGTCGTTTCATCAATGGTTGGTGGAGGAACCCAAGGAACTCCGAACTCTTGCACCAACGATTGGCTGATGGTTCCTTGTGCAAAAGTGGCTGACAGGCTGCCGATGGCCAGCACATGCGAGGATAAGATCTGTGGTGGAACGTTCAATGCGGAAGTCAGTTCCGTGGAAAGGACAGTGATTTCTAGCATAAGACCGTTTCGGTTGGCATTTCACGCCGATTCAATAGAATTTCCAAATGATGTCGATAATAGGGGATTCTGCTTAGATTACGTTCAGCAGCCTTGTACTAGTAACTGATAGAAATTAAAGAAATATTGCTTCGAAAAAAAAAATTATGTTTTTTATAAGTAATAAAAAATAAGCGTTTAGAGTGTATCTATAAGAAAACAACATTTGGGGGAGGTAGCTCATCGATTCTTCCGGTTCGCCTCCTTGCATCGTGCTATAAGGTACCAGGTGATAACCAGGGTAGTTGATCGATAGCTCGATGACGTCATTTTGTTGGCGTCTGCAATGGGAATTCTCATAGCAGGCGTTGACGATGGGACGTTGTCGAGTGGTTGAATAGCAACTATCGTGGTAACTCACCGATTACCTATCGATCTGCCAAATTTGGAAAGACGTCTGTCTCATATAATAATATTCCGCCCACTATTTTACAAGAAATTGCGAGTAGCTGAGTGGAATGGAGATAAGTTAAGCATTGGGTACAGGACCAAGCCTCCCCTGGGTGGTGCCAAAAGATGAGCGCAATAGAATCATCAAGTTGCCATAAGGCACGGAATGAGACTATTGCATGGCTGGGTAGTCAAAGTCTTCCATTCGTTAGTCATTTCAGGTGGATTAGAACAGGTTTAGGTTTACGGTGGGCGTTGGCCAGATATGGATTTTTCAGATATAATCCTAAATAGGACCTCGATTATTTAATACACTAGTAACCTCAACTTCTGTCACAATGTTTAATTGTGACTAATCAACACTCAATGGGTAAAATATCAAATTTGCCGTAAATTTGAAAAAAAGGGAACTTGGAGTGTAGAGCGCACTGCCCACTGGACGATTCTGAATCCTGACCAAGTGAGTGGGTTACGGGTTTATTTGATTGTACTTCATTTCCAAGTTATATATAGATACATTCATACCATTGGCATTTTGTATTTGAGATAAGACAGAGACAGGATGCGGAGGGCCCGCTTAGGGGGAGCGTAACCCATGTTATGGCTTCCATTTATTAAATAGTTCAGATAGGCTTGAAATGATAGGTTCATGGTGAGAAAATGTACCATATGGTGCCCGTTTTCTGATCAAAATTAGATTCAAACCGTCAGGCCCTGCCCTGGAATAAGGGGATTGACGATGATTTATCAAGTTTCATTTTGCATTTGCATATAATTGTAAGTTTAGGATTGCTTTTGTAATTGCAAGATAGATAGTTTGCCTCAATTGAAACATTGAGTTGTATAAACTTGATGAATCATACCTCTTAAATAGTAGTAGTTACAGTGCCTCATTATCTAACAACCACTGCCTGCAACTAATGTTGGAGGGGTCGGCAGGGCTGATTACGGATCAAAACTAACATAACTCTAACACTGAAATGATCCCGAAACTAACGCTCATTCATTGCACTTTGAGTCATAAAGTAGTTTTATTTATGTTCCTACTAATCTATCTACACACTTAGTTTTTTCTACCGAGCTCGGCTGTGCGGGTCTCGGCGGGGAGGATCTCGCTGAGATCTCGGTGGGAGTGACATTTGGTTGAGGTCTCGGATAATGCCTTTTCTAATACTCTGCCTACGTTTCTTTTCTTTGTTATCTACTTTATCCCCTTTTTATTTTTCTGCTCTTCTTTCCTCTTCTCTTCTTTTGTTTTGTTTGTTTACATATAACTAATACTAATACCTCCTTGTTTTCTCTCTAATTTGTCTACTATGTCCCACCATCACGATGAGAGATGAGATACCGTACATGGTACACGCTCATATACACTCCCAAAATAGTATGCCGCAAGTAAGTATATCACAGAGGCAACTAAAGATCCAGAAACAAAAACCGATAACGCTGAACGGCAGATTGGTTTACAGTGGTCGACCAGGGTGTGTGCTGATAAATTACTAAATTACAATTACATCATTAGTTCATACATCAGCTTGAATTACGTTGATCGATATTACATTTTTTTTGCTGTGCACTACACCACCGGAGCCAGCAAAGTTCAACAATCCATCGTTGCTTATGCCTTTGTTGTCGTTTGGAACCAGTTTTGAGAGGTAGGCGACGATTGTGCGTATTTCTCGCGTAACTTTTGAAAAGGGCCTAGCCTGAACAATACGTAAAGAGCAAATTGAAACATTGTACGTCGCGTGAAAGTGGAGCTTAATGAAGGCCTAAGTACTTTTTCGTAGTTTTTAGTTTTCGGATTTGAAAGATCGTCGGTTACAGTGGCCAGTTTACTGAGCATAAAAACGCGGTCCCAGGTCCTTACATATCATAGAGATTTATGGTAAAATCGCTTGTGTATCGTGTATTTTGCGAAACTCGTTGTTGTCGTTGGTTCCGGGTTTGAATGGATACAAAAATTTGAGCAACGGTATTATGTGATATGAGGGGCTCAGTGGCCTTAGAGCAACCGTTTTTGCTTACTGAGCAGAACATCATGAGTCTAATCTCAGGCCCATCCACATTCAAGATTCGTCAATCGTTTTATTTGTTAATATGACTACATGGTAATAACAGCAACTCGGTGATTAAAAAGGTGCTCGTCTGCCTAGTGGCAAACGTTTTTGCTTACTGAGCAGAAGACCGTGGGTTTAGTCCCAAGCTCCTTCGCGTTATATGATCGTTAGGACATCAATTCAGCTTATCGTTTACCAAAACGAACCCTGCTGCAAACCCAACCCTCTTATCCAACATCCCAGTGATTCTTCGTGGAAGTGCAGAGGTGTTCTCGACTTCCATCAAAGCGAGTGTCATGTCAACACAATCCTTCCCATTCCTTTCTTGACCTGTGTTCGGGCGCGGCCGGCGCTGGTATTGCCTAATTTAAGATCACCAGTTTTTACACATTGAGGATGATTGCTAGTCCCATGCATCGTCTATTGGTTCTCTGTGTAATTACAGCTGATCTGGCAATAACAGAGTAGCAACCTTGGGCGGTCAATCAAGCTCAAGCTCAAGCTCAAGCTATCTATAAGAAAACAACATTTGACAACAGGTAAGGTGTCAGCGTTGGTGAGGTATGGCGTTGTCATAAAGCAGCCCTTCACACATACCCAACGCGATCACTTTCCGGTTCTTCACAGCAAACTTTCCAATCGACACTCTTCGCTTGGCAACGGACACGCAAATAAGATGGCTACCTCCATCAAAGATTCTATTGTGAATTACCGGTGTTGCACGAATGGCCACACGGATTGACCACATTTTCAGCTTCAGACGCATGAACATCACTAACTACAAACTTTCGATCTATTTTTCAGTCTTTTTCTCTACAAAAACAAGTCAAAATCCTCGAAATTGTGCTTGACACCTAGTCGTACATACTGAAATATTTTACTTCTAAACGAAAGATTACTACTAATCCTATTTCTAAAAACGTTTTTAATCAAATTAAAATCAAAATCATTGAACAAGCAAAGGCAGGAATGGAACAAGTTTTTGAAGCCGTAGTTTTTTCTCCCATCTATTGGTAATATTAATTTGTATGATTCAATTGTTATTAGAGAGATATTGACGATGAAAGTCAAAAGTGACAACGTTATATCGAGGTATACCTGTTTTGACGAAACTTCTTTCGTGTGAGTAGCACCAGAGGGAATAAAAATCCATCTTTAACAGCTGCCTTCCTACTGCTCACCTCGCCATCCGAAGCGAAAATGAGTCGAGGCACGACAGCAGTGCTGTTTTATAATTTTTAGGTTCAAGCAGAAAAATGTGCAATCAAGAGGTACTACATTATGACGACTGAGTTTGGGGAGAACGTTTATGTCACGAAAACAGTCTTAAAATTATCCCTTTTTATTTGTACATTTTCAAAGTTTTTTTTAGGGAAAATTCGAAAAACATTTTTTGTAGCAAATGTTAAGAGTTATTTCAAATCGATTGGTGTATTTGGATTTTATTTTCATCTATAAATGACAAAATTATAGGCGTTCAAAATCTAACACCTTTTCGTGACGGTTGCAATTTTAGATTTTCAATTTACCCCCTTCACCTACCTTTCCGTAAGACGTAGTCTACGTAAAAAATGCACCGCGTCTACATGCCGTCTTTCTTCTACTTCTCGGTACAGTGACAGTGACGTAATACATGAGATTCGTTGTTGTTGAACGATGCTTTATAAAGCCATGCTGACCATAAAATATGTTGTGAGACGCCACGTTGTGTAGAATGTTCGGCACCACTATTTTTACATGAAGACATTTACCACTTTATAACGGAAGACATTTACAGGGGAAGCAACAAGGAATTCCAGGAGAAGTCGGAAGAGTCTTTTGGAGACGTGCGGTTAGCGGCGTCAGGCGTTCAGTGCCACGAAGTGATGATTCGATACCCATTTCAGTCGGTGGATTTTTTTGCAACCCGATGTCCGCACGGTGGTCTACTGGGTGTTATGTTTAGTACCTACCTGTGCACTAGATGAAAATATTTCCCGGAATTCCTGGAAAGAGCCACCCCCAGCAAATACTACGTCAATAGTCAAGTAACGTACGACCGGTTGGTGTAATCGACGATGGATTGGTTCGAATGAATGAAATAAAACTTGGTGTGAAAAATGGTAGTTCTCCTTTTTATTTTGATTCGTCGCATGATTTGTTTATTTGTTTGTTGATGTTGTTTGCACATAACTCTAATTGATTTCATAACTATTAATCCTCATCGTGAAAAAAGGAAACTTACGTGATTCATATTCTGATTTTGATTTTCTCCATTTTTCAATACATTAGAAAACCTGACAACAATCATATCTTTAGACTTTTTTTTTGATTTTTGTTAATGCTTATGTTTATACGTTTTCCGTTTTTGTTTTGTTCGTGTGAAGTATCAACAACAGAACTTCCTTAGTGAAAGACAAATAAGAACATTTTGCATTAAAATTCGATCGTATATAATGTCTGTTTTCTGTTTTTGAGGGATTACCTCACCTATCAGTTCACTACATAACAATTCTTCCGTTAATTCCACATGATTACTAGCGTTCTAAACATCTTGTCCTGCTACATTTATTTGACACTTTTCAGTTTCTAGTCAGTGAGTGTATGTGTGTGTGTGGGTATTGTGAGATAAGTGATCAAA